GGTGCCTGGTCCCTTTGCAGGCGTCAAGCGGGCTCGCGTGTCCTCGGGGGGGGTCACCGACTCCCCCGGCGGCTTCTCCAAGCACGTCCGCTCCGATATGGACTTCTCGCCGGTGAAGAGCGCGCTCGGGTGAGCCTCTGGTCCCCTTTGCATCCCTCCCCGCGCGCTCCGGCTCGCAAGCCCACGCGTGGGCGCTGCACGTCGCCCGTTGGCTGTTTGTGCTGCTGGGGTTCGTTGCTCCTGGGGCAGCAGGAGCTTTCCTGCGCGTCTGCACGGTGCGGGGCTTTGCTCGGCGCGGGGCTTTGCACGTTGCAAGGCTTTTTGTACGCTGTGGGGCGTTGGAGGGCTTGGCACGCTGCAGGGCTTTGCACGCTGCAAGGCTTTACACGCTGCCGGGCTTTACACGTTGCAAAGCTTTGCACGCTGCAGGGCTTTGCACTTTGCAATTCTTTGCATGTTGCAGGGCTTTGCACCCCGCAGGGCTTTGCACTTTGCAATTCTTTGCACCCCGCAGGGCTTGGCACCCTGCAGGGTTTTGCACGTTGCAGGGCTTTGCACTTTGCAATTCTTTGCACCCCGCAGGGCTTGGCACCCTGCAGGGTTTTGCACAGTGCAGGGCTTTGCACCCTGCAGGGCTTTGCACGCTGAAGGGCTTTGCACTTTGCAATTCTTTGCACACCGCGGGGCTTGGCACCCTGCAGGCACTTTGCAATTCTTTGCACGTTGCAGGGCTTTGCACCCCGCAGGGCTTTGCACTTTGCAATTCTTTGCATGTTGCAGGGCTTTGCACCCCGCAGGGCTTTGCACTTTGCAATTCTTTGCACCCCGCAGGGCTTTGCACCCCGCAGGGCTTTGCACTTCGCAGTTCTTTGCACGCTGCAGGGCTTTCCCTGTGTTTTCACCAGGAGGTGGTTCGGCAGAAACCACGCACGAGCCTGCGTTTACCCTGCTTGTGTCTGCACGATCGTACAAAATCCTGCAAAATCCCGGAGCGGTGCAATTCCCCCGCTCGAATCTCTCCACGTTCCCCAGTCCTTGCGGCCTCTCCTTTGCACCAGCATCCCTAACGTCCCGTCTCCCCTTGCGTTGCAGCGAGGAGAAGGCGAGCTACTCCACGTCGCAGCCGGAGCCCGGCACCGGCGGGGCGCTCTGGGAGAGCGGGGCGGCCAGCATCGACAAGCTCGTGCAGGGCATCAGCTTCTCCCAGCCCGCCTGCCCCGAGCACACGCCGGGCAGCTCCGCAGGTTTTACTGTACGGGGGCGCAACTTTGCAGCGTTTATACGATCAGGAGGCAACTTTGCAACCCCGGGGATGCGGCTCTGCCGTGTTTTTCGTCCCGGGATGCGACCCGATCATCTCGGGGCGCAACCTTGCGATGTTTGGGGTGCGACCTTGCAGTTTTCGGGATGCAACTTCGCAGCATCTATAATATCGGGGAGCAACGTCGCAACATTGGGGATGCGGCCTTGCAAGGTTTATCATCTCGGGGTGCAACTCTGCAGTATTTGGGGTGCAGCTTTGCGGTATATTTAGTATCGGGATGCAACTTCGCAGCGTTTACAATATCAGGGTGCGACTCTGCAGTATTTGGGGTGCAGCTTTGCATCTGATTTGCAATATCGGGGTCCGACGTTGCGCTATTTATGATATTTGGGGTGCAACTTTGCATTGCGTATGTGACATTAAGGAGCAACTTCGCAGCATCTATAACATGGGGGAGCAACTTTGCGATATTGGGGATGCGGCTTTGCAATGTTCATCACCTCGGGGTGCAATTTTGCAGTATTTGGGGTGCAGCTTTGCATCATTTATAGTATCAGGATGCAACTTTGCAATGTTTGGGGTGCAGCTTTGCAGCATTTACAGTATCGGGGTGCAACTCTGCGGTATTCGGGACGCAGCTTTGCCTCCGATTTATAACATCGGGGTCATATATATGAGAGTAAGGAGCAACTCTGCAATATTTATAATATTAGGGAGCAACTTTGCGATATTGGGGATGCTGCTTTGCAGTATTTATAATATTTGGGGTGCAACTTTGCAGCGTTTCTAATGCAACTTTGCAACCTGGGAGATGCAGCTCGCGGGATTTACCATCAGGGGGTGCAGCTTTGCAATCTTTATCCTCTTAAGGCCGGGGTTTTGCGGAGCTGGGGCTGGAACTTTGCGGGATTTGTAACCTTTGCAACTGGTTTTTGGGGGCCGGCAGAGCCCGTGGCAGCGGCTGGTGAAGCGGATGACATGCTTCTTCACCAAACTGGACGCCGACGGCTCTTACCGCGCCCTGAAAGAGGTCTGTGAGAAGATGGGGTACGGCTGGAAGAAGAGCTGCACGAACCAGGTAGGGATTGGGGGGCAAAATCGTGGGGTGGGACCCCCCCCACACACCCCGTTGCATCTGCAAATAATTCGGGGGACCCTCCCCCCCCCCCCCCCCCCTTTGCTGTCGTTTTGCAGGTCACCATCTCGACCACGGACAGGAGGAACAACAAACTCATCTTCAAGGTGAACCTGGTGGAGATGGAGAGCAAGATTTTGGTGGATTTTCGCCTCTCTAAGGTGAGCCGGGGGGTCAGGGTGGGCGCACGGTGGGCGCAAGGTGATGCAGGGTGGGCACAAGGTGATGCAGGGTGGGCTCAAGACCGTGCAGGGTGGGTGCAAGCTGGTGCAGGACCGTGCAAGGTGATGCAAGGCCATGCAAAGTTGGGTGCAAGGCGGTGTCGGTGGGTGCAAGGTGATGCGAGATGGGTGCAGGGCAGCGCCCGCTGGGTGCACGGTGGCTGCGAGGCGATGCAAGGTGGTGCCGGGTGGGTGCGAGGCAGTGGCTGATGGGGGTGCAAGGGGATGCAGAATGGGTGCAAGGCAGCGCGCAGGGGGTGCAAGGAAACACAGGGCAGCGCCTGGGGGGCGCAGGGTGGGTGCCTGGGGGTGCAAGGCAATGCCCAGTGAGTGCAGGGCGGTGCATGGTGGGTGCGAGGTGGGTGCAGGGCGGTGCGCGGCGGGTGCAGGGCGGTGCACGGCGGGTGCACGGCGGGTGCAGGGCG